TACTCCTTGTTCATAAAAGTCAGTCTGATCACCCTGTTATAACTACGCTCTGACAATTAATATTGTGAGGGAGGAATCTCCGAGAAAAGAAATCCTTAAGACTAATTCGTATCTTAAGTCACAATTACGTCTTGAATATTGTCAAATGTGTTACTTCACACAGAAATTACAGATCTTTCGCAGACATACAATATATTCCCGATCTATTCTCGGTGGTGTTAAAATAAATTCATTTGAGATCAAAGTAGTGTTTTGATTTGATTAAAATAGGGGGTGTTCTGTAAAGAGCTCAACCCGGCAATAAAATAAAAGCAGTAATGCATAGAAAATCCCAACAAGTGGCCACGTGACTTGCACGTGACATCTGCTGTGCGAGCGAGAAGGAACATCTAAGTTTATAAAGCATACACAGATAATTTTCTATTTCCTAAATAAAAACCACACCACTTTTTATGCTAGAGAAATGCTGTCATCAAATCACAAATACTAGCAATCATCTCCAGAGGCCGTTCGAAGCATGGCTGACCATCTATGGATATTTAATCTACGCCTAATAATTATTATCTATGTGACCGAGTAACACTTGCTCCTACAGTAAGGCCCTTTCTCCACTGCTCCGGTCCGGCGTCGGATACCGGAATGAGTCATGAGAAAAATATCGGAAGACCGGATTGCACTTCTCCACCATATCCGATCCGACAATAATCGATACTTGTATATATTTATCATGCAACACCTATTTTAACTAAAACCCATATACTTTATTTTATTAATAAAACGTTTTAAATTCTGAATATTTTATTGCCCTGGCAAGTTTATTACTTTTTTATATAGTCTATCTTAAAATATTATAATCTACTTAATAAATAGTTCACTAATACTATGGTATAAAAATATAAATAAATAGCAACATAATTTGGTTTGGTCCAGGTTATCCAAATTCTTTCAAATTAAACAAACTATAAAAATAAACCTGTGAATAATAAAGTATAACCTCTTGGATACTTGGACCGATAAAACACCGCGTTCCGATCTAGCAAGTTATCGGATCGTTAAAAACCGGATGCCGGAGTAGTGGAGAAGCACGGAAGTACTGTTGTGAGTTTCTAAATCGGATCGGTAATTAACGTTTGCCGGACAGGAGCAGTGGAGAAACGGCCTAAGACACGCTGATTACTGAAATACGTCTAAAACTAAAACAAACGCAAAATTTTGTCCGGCCATACATTTTGCCGTGTCTCACGTAGTAGGTACTTAATTACTCTGATGTTAATCATCACAACTATCATATTATATTCAAATATGTTCGACCATACAATTTATTACGTGTACCTATCAAAGTATTTTATTTTCCCTCCAAAGGTTCATAGGTAACAGATTCCTCAAGTCGTAAACAGTAGAGTCAATCGATGTCCACCAGATGTCAGAGTCACGTGCGCGCCACGCGTTACACAGATTATGTCAACAGCACGCGGCGAACCATTACTTACATGCTCCTTCGCAGATTATGATCAATACTTTGAATAAATTCTCGAAAAGTTTTTTTTCAATTAGAAGAGTTTTTCAACGACATTTTATTCGATTATCTCATGATGAAAACGTAGTAGTCTACCACGTCTATAAATAAATCAGTGGCGCTACAACCTTTTAAGGTCTGGGCCTCAAATTTATGTGTTTCATGATCATTAGGCAGTGATCAGCCTCCTGTGCCTGACACACGCCGTCGACTTTTTGGGTCTAAGGCAAGCCGGTTTCCTCACGATGTTTTCCTTCACCGTTCGAGCGAATGTTAAATGCACACATATACAGAAAGTCCATTAGTGCACAGCCGGGGCTCGAAGCTACGACCCCAGGATGTAAGTCGCACGCTGAAGCCACTAGACCAACTCTGTTCATCCTTTACTGCATCTTATTTTATTTTTTATTTTTTTTTATAGAACAGGGGGCAATCGGGCAGGAGGCTCACCTGATGTTAAGTGATACCGCCGTCCGTTGCCGGCCTTTCAAGAAGTGGTACCCTCTTTTCTTGAAGGACCCTAAGTCGAATTGGTTCGGAAATACTTCAGTGGGCAGCTGCTTCCACAAAGTGGTGGTGCGCGGCAAAAACTGCCTTGAAAAACGCTCAGTTGTGGAACGGCGGACGTCGAGGTGATACGGGTGGAATTTCGTACTCTGCCTCGACGTCCGATGACGAAACTCAGCTGCAGGTATTAATCCGAACAACTCCTCTGAACACTCTCCATGGTAAATGCGGTAGAAGATGCAGAGTGACAATGGATGAAAGGATCAAGCCGCTCGGAGAGGGATTGGTCGTCGACGATTCGAACCGCTCTGCGTTGAATACGGTCAAGTGGAAGGAGCTGGTACTGGGGAGCCCCCGCCCAGAGGTGAGAGCAGTACTCCATGTGGGGCCGAATTTGCGCTTTATATAGTTGCATGCGGTGGCCCGGAGTGAAGTACCGTCTCGCCTTGCTGAGCACACCAAGCTTTTTGGAGGCTAATTTAGCCTTTCCCTCCAAGTGACCGCGAAACTGAACGTCGCTCGATATGTCAACGCCAAGTATTCCAATGCTGGCTGTGGCTTTAAGAAGAGTGTTTTCGAAAAGAGGAGTAGCGAAATCTTATTTCGGGTTATAAAATATTCGTCATTCCGAACTCTATTATTAAAAAAAATCTAACTCGTTTAATTAGGTAGTTATATATTAATTCAAATGTAAAACCTTTTTTCGATATACATTTAAGGTGTCAACACACCGGGTGGCGGGCGGTGATTTAGCGAGCGTGTGTGTGACAGGCATAGCACCTTTGTACTTTATGTCGTGTGACCACACCCCAAGCGATTTAGAAAAAAATGTTTATGATATTCGTAGCTTTTACATCTAATTTAATAATTCATGGTTCCAGAGCCAAAATAGTCGTTCATACTATGTGCCTGTGTATATGTCGCAGCCAACTACCTTAATTAGCCGTTCAATTAACAGTCTGGCCTCTTAACCATACAGCGCTGTTTAACTAGCGGCCTGAAAGATATTCCAACAGCTAGGCAATTGACTTGAATCGATGTCGATACATTACTTGCCTATTCTGTTCATTTTAATTTAGTTTCACTTTCTGCCTACTCCAAACTGTCAATAAAGCGTCGGCAAACAACAAATTTGATTATGTTTTCCATTTAATGAAAAATTGTTTGGAAGAGTTTAGTGACACTAAGAGTAAGCGTAAGATCACTAATAAGTTACACATTAAATATATTCAACAAAGAATTTCTTAGGTCTGATATTTCAGCTTTTTTATTTCTGTCACATGATCGTACGAATGGCCAAAGCACTAGCCAGCCTGTTTTTTTAATGTTGACATTACAAACGGCTGTATATCGTTCAGGCCGCTAGTTAAACGGCGATATTTAGTTAAAAGGCTAGGCTGTTAATTGAACGGCTTATTAAGCTAGTTGTCTCCGATAAGTATATAGATTTTTTTCTGTAACGATATTAATTTAAATACCTATTAATGTCCTAATCCTTGTATCTTTTTTCTTCTTTATTATAGCTACTAGTATGTTTTGTCTCCGAAATTATACATTTTGTGCTGTCATGCTTAGTTTTACTTTGCTTTGTATGTTATTCTTTATCAGTGAAACTTTTTGTGGATTTTTTTTTAATGTATAGAGATGTATCTGTTTTGTTTCCCAAATAAATAAAGAGTAGTGTTCTAGTGGCTCGAGAATGCGGTTCCCAACCCTGAGATCATGCCTTAAAACCACTGCCTTACAACTATGAAACTTTATTTATTTGTTTTGTTGTCACGGCGAAAGAAACAGGCATTTTTAGTACCAAAAACGATAGGATACTGTACTACTAGAATCGCCAATCGCGCTATTAAGAGAGAGATTAAAAGTTCCCGCTCACTGGACGGGTCAATAGTTCGTTTGGTAGAGGATTCTCACTTTATGTTGGAGTTCATTCTCTTAAAGGGTATATACATGTCACAAAGCTAATAAACATATTTTTCAGTACCTATCTGAACCCAGAGGTTCCAAAAAACTCTATCAGTAGCCGAAATGTTCTTTAGAAGGTAGTATAAGATCTTTTTGTTGGTCTTTTGACCTTTAAAGTTAATATCTCCAGTAAGCCACTTTAAATTGTCAATATTTTGGTCTAAATTAAATATAAAGGGCGAAAGAAAAGGCAGTATTAAATTAATTACATTTGTTTTATTTTCACTTATTTACACACATTAATTACATTGATTTATATTACAATTAACAAATGAGATCATGACCAAAATTTCATTAAGTACTTCATACTAATTTTACAATGCAACGGAGTTTCGGTGTTCTGTGGTTTATTGACTGTCACAGTTATTTCCTTCTTCCAAAGACTCTATGGAAATAATAAGTCCCGCCAAAACGAATCAAATTACCTCGATCACACTAGTAAAATATTCACCCATTTAGTTCTTATTATATCGTAACTAAAAAGGATTTAAGGTACATTATTTTTTTAATTCTAAAATGTCATCAATATTAACACAATGACAAATCTGACAATTTACAGCGTTACCATAAACCTATATATAATATTTAGCTATATTTAACTATATTTACAAAGGTGCAATTTACAAAAGTTATTTATATTTGCAATTCTAGCATACACTAAAATATTAATATAAATTAATTCTGTATTTTTTAGATAATGACGTAGAATTTTTGAGATTTATAAAAGCTGTTAGAGGTTGTAAGTTAAGTTAGTATGACACTTCCAATGAGATAGAGATACGTCTACGTATGTCTTTGACTGTTAATTTTTGTGTATAGAATAGAAAAATGAATCTCTTATTTGACAGCATAGCATAGCATGACATTTGAATGAAAACTGCCTTTATAAGGGAACTTTATTTCATATTGAAATAATTATCTTAAATTAATATGACTAATTCGGTTATAAATACTAGGTTTATTCTAGGATTATAAATATAGATTTATACAATTATACAAAAACAGGTCATGTCACATTTATTTCCTCGTCAGATGCGCTATCACTCTCAAAATCATCGAGTTCATTTTGATAGTTTTCCCGCGTAAATATCCCAGCCGCCATCTTGTCATCGAAGCGGTAACTGTCATTTTGACAGTTAGATGTTGACGCGTACATTTTGTTTTTTAATTCCTCATCTTCGGGTAATGGTGACAGCTTTTGCTTATCAGCCTCAGCGTCTGATAAATCTGGATGTGGGTTGTTTTTGTTCGGAAGAGTTTGTTCCCTGGACCCGCCAGTTGCGAGTAGCTCGCGCTCTTTTGAATTCCGCCATTTCATTCGACGATTTTGAAACCAGATCTTTACCTATAAAAAATTAGATGTAATTAGATTTTTTAATACACATATTGATAACTAACGTTATTTTTAATTCGCATTTATAATAACAGTTTAATAGTAGCTCTGACGGTACTTTTAGAAAAACCTAAAAATGGGAGGACCTTGTCCAATATGTTAGTATTTTATTTTTTTAACAATAATCAAACCTAGAACCACGACAATAAACTACGCCACTGTGGAGGCGTATTACGCAAGGGTCCAAAACGCTTCATCACTATTAAATACATTATTATAAAAAATAACAATGATTTATTAAAGGGGCAACTCTGGATTTGTCGTTTACGCAGTTTTTTGATGAAATAACAGTTTTTGGGAATTGGCAACATCAATCATATAAAGGCGTGGTAACGCGGTCCATTATGAGAAATTATTGTGAAAAAGTCTTGACAAAAATCCATACCTTTATATCATTGATAATAATATTTTTACCTATATGATTTTAATAAATTAAACGCGTGTATTAAAAACAATTTTACAGTTAGGAAAATAATAAACAGGAACATTGAAAGGAAACGTGGCAACAGTTTTCTTATTTTAAACTGAAAATGGCATAAACAATAGTGTTCTATTCTTTGCAAGTTTCGTTTAAAAATTGCGTTTAGTTAGGTCAGTTTTATTCTATTGTGAACAGAGTATAGTGACTTGGAGAATTTATAGAATTATATGAATATATTAAATAAAATTATCACGCAATGAGGTTTAATTTTTTTGCTGTTTGCTTGTGTTTTATATTTATAAGTTCTAGTATAATTTTACGCGACGGCGAAGGCCAAGGTTATTTGCGATACCAAGGGCCAGAACAAGTCTGTGGCACAGATCCCCGTTGTCAAAGAATTGCGCCTACTGAATGCTGTCTCCGATAATATCAACATATTTATATGTTCGCAGAGTGAATTCACAGTAGCGATATCGTGTATGTGAGTTGTTAAATATTATATACTTTATTTTATTTTTCTCAACATTATATTTCTGTAAATAAAGAAATAATTTTGATTTTGTTTTTAATTTTTGTGATAAAACGTCAATTCATTTTTCTTTTTTTTTTTTACTATAAGTAGGTCTTAAGGAGAATAGGATTACGTGATTAGGTATAAAAAACACGAATTTATCGTATAATTACATAACTAGATGTTCCAAATGTCCGTAGTGCGAAAGCAAGAATACTAGAGCGAACTATTTATGGCTGTTAGGCGCAATTATTTTAGACAATTATTTAAGCCATAGATAAAAGAAGTAGCAGATAATATTATCCATTATGACAGGTTTAAAATTTGTAAAATGTTTCAATATCAAAACTCCTTTTTAAAAACAGCTGTGAAAAATATCTAATACAGAGAAGCATTTAATTGCACGGTTCAATAGAACGAAATTTCTAAAAAACTTTTGTCTGCAATTTGTATTGTCAATGTCAAGACAAATTTGAAATTGAAATGACAAATTGCGCCCGCTGATTGGCTGAAGCGAATTGATTTAGCGTAGCGCGCAAAATGATTTGTCAAAATTTGAATTGTCACCTTTGTGTGAATTTTTCGATTGAGACAAAATCTAATGTAAGGAATGATCGATGTTATAATTAACGAGATTTTGAAATAAAATAAATCAGTGGCGCTAGAACATTTTTAGTTCTGGGCCTCAGATTTCTGTAACTGTTTCATTTGTCAATCTAATAGGCAAGTAGGTGATCAGCCTGAAACACGCCGTCGACTTTTTAGTTCTAAGGCATGTTGATTGAGCACATCGTTAGAAAGTCCGTTGGTGCACAGCCGGGGATCGAACCTTCGACCTCAGGGATGAGAGTCACACGCTGAAGCCACTAGGCTCACTGCACTAGAGATTTTAAAAGAAATAATTTATAATTTACTTTACTAACTTTTTTGTTAGGTTTAAAAGCAAAGCACCTAAAGCGACTCCTGCGCATGTTGTTTATCTTTGAAAACTCTTACCGGGAATTAACCGTAAGATCGATTATTGGAAAGTGAAAGCTTGGTCGTCTTAAGCAAATCTGGGGTTGCACATTGCACAGAGTCAAAGAGAACTGGATGGAGAGTCACTGCAGTGGACACCCTCTGCCCCATCCAGGGGTTTTAAGTAAAAGGGTAAGATTAGAAGTCGAGACTTAGACCCCTATTCTAGAAAGTGTTTAACCTCAATCTGCTTTCTAGAGCTGTAAATTTTTTTTTAAATTTGACATCCTTGACTGTGCTCAAGCGGAGATTGTGTCTTGCGATGTCTTTTGGAATACGGGGATAATCCCCTTAGCCTTGCCATCTTATTAAGATTTTTTTTTTTTAAATTATATTCTTTATGATACACAACTGTCTCACACTACGTTATGACGCTTATATTTATAGATATATTAATATTTTTTTAATTATTTTTGACAAATTTCATTGGGCTCAAGCGGAGATTTTAACTTAAGATGTATTTTGGAATATGGGCCTTTGTCCGTTAGCCTTAGAATAGCATCTTTTTAAGCCTTTTTATATATTTATTAAAATAGCTATCTTATCTAGACATAAATATGTCTCATATAGACATAAATAGAGAGACAGACAGTATGATAATCAATAACATAACGCCTATTATGATAATCAGTTCGCAATTTATCCCAACAATTCGTCTCCCATCTTTATCCCGTATAAATTGTAATAAAAGTTAATATGTCAAAAAGTAATTAATTCCCGCTCGGTGTCACCCCTGTTAGTTTAGGGATGTGCGAGATATTTGTCGATAAAACGTTGAATTAATTTAATTTAAATATAGTACTTTATCGTTAGTGGCTTAGGCTGATCACCTACTTGCCTATTAGATTGACAAATGATCATGAAACAGATAGAAATCTGAGCCGCAGTGCTAAAAGGTTGTAGCACCATTGGTATATAAGAAGGGTGTGCTTATCCTTTTTTTCTTTTTCGTCGGATTATGATATTGTTCCAAAGGCATTTGCTATTATGATAAAGAACCATGTTGCTCTTCAAGAAAAGAGCGTACCAATTCATAAAAGGCCGGCAACGCACTTGCGAACCCTCTGGAAAAGTGAGTGTCTACTGGCGGCGGTATCACTTAACATCAGGTGAGCCTCCTGTCCGTTTGACCCCCGTAACATAAAAAGATATAGTGGGATTTAAAATGGTTTCTTTTTTAAATCTATAAACCATACAAGTGGAAAAATAATACGCAAGAACAGAGTGTCTACTCCTTAATATTGTAAGTAGTTTTATTTGACACTTTCTTATGTTAAATATCCTTTTTAGTATATAATAGGGTTAGCTTTAAATTACTTATTAGTCTTGAGACAATTTATAAAAAGAAAAACAGGGCCATTTTTAAAGTTTTATCATTTTAAGGCAGCAATGTCACGGTTGATAGAAGACATTTAATCAATAACAGTTATACATTTAGTGACATCACTAGCAAGTCGAAAGGGCCGCGCGTCAGCTGCTGGCGGCATATTGTCGGGGCCCGGTCAAGACGAGGGTTTAGACGCAGATTATAACTTGATTTCAGATTGGGGAAATCTTGGTTTTTCATAGTAAAATTTATTACGCATAGCTTCAAACATTTACTTATATGCTAGGTAATATTTAAAAAAAAAACAAATTCGTCTTTGGCTATTTTTTCAAAGGAAGGGCGTAAAACGGATGAAACAATCTCTTAGTACCTATCAATAAAGATAAAATGTTGGTAAGTATATAATATATACTTAGATATATCTATGGAACGATGTATGATAGGGAAGAAAAGAAGAGACAAAATAAAGATTACAGCGTTAAGATATTTATAAAATATGTATAGGTATATAGGACAACATGAGATGCCCGATTTACCAACGGATCATTAAAAGTTAAGTTTGCTTTATTTATATTAGAATCCACAACTATAGTAAAAATAACTTAAAGGGCTTTAATTTTAATGTCCTTTGGGTCAGATTTGATAATTGATGATAATTTTTTTAATGGATATATTTGGCATATATGCTATTAAGTTATATATAGAGAATAAATAATGCATAATTCAAACTAAAATTGTGTAGCTATAGCGTCTCCATAGTCTATGCCGTCCAATGAATCTGATTTTCGGACGCGTTCCAAAATTTGAAATATTCATATTTCGAATGAATATTCAAACGTCGGACCGTTTACATTCACGGCGTTCCAATTTCAAATATTTGCATTTATTTATTTTGAATTCGGAACTTTTTGTTGGCGCGGTTTTTGATTGACAGCGTGCCATGTTTGTTTATAGTCAAATTTTTGTTTGCTTAACCAAATTGTTTAGAGGGCATTTAACCCTTCTTTTGTAATAATATTGTAAGATGCAAAATGTCACAAAGGAAATATTGTTAACATTTGTTTAATATTATTCAATAGTTTGCAAATAGTGTCGGAGTGAATTTCATTATTAGTATAGAATATTAAACCCTTTTTATCAATTGAATTCATACAAAACAGTAAAAATAAAACACTCAAACGAAATGTTTATTTTTTTAAACTTAATATAAATTTGTGGACCAAATACATTTAATAAACATTAGAAAAATAAATAGACCGTTACAACCTTCTGTGCTGTATTCTGTATTTCCCGAGAAACCGAACAGAATGGGAGTAAAATATTTTCACGCGAAAATTATAACCAAACATCCCAAAGTGGAATTCGTCAAACTGCAGTAAGCTATAAAATATATAAATACCAATCCGGAGCCACCGTTCACTTTTATCCGATACAAATCGACCAATAGTAACCCATTGTAAGACGCAATAACCGCTATTATTCATCTCTTTCTAACCTAAGTAAATACTATATCCGTCGCGGTTTCTTAAGTCGATCGTACCAGAGACTATAGAGTACATTTCAGCGCGCCATTTCTTTCCGTTTCCTTTTTATTTCGACACAATTGCTTCAGTCTGGCTATTATGTTACGATATTTTATTTCTCTTGTGTAATGGAGTTCGTTTTTATGACTGGAATGAACTGCTTTCTATTATATAGGGATTTAATATTATTTTCAGTATTATTCTATTAAAAGAGCAGCTTTTAACATTGGCATTAATTTTAAAGGATATTAGAGAACTTGTGAATCGCCACAGAATGGTTTTATAAAGAATATAGGTAATATGAAAAAACGAATCTATATTTTTCCAATTAATTAACAAAATATTCAGACCTCTTAATAAATTAGCCAATGAGGAAAGAGATTTTGATGGCAACGTTTCTTTATGACTTAGAATCAAAGTACCAAAGAAGAAAAAAGAGAAGCTTTTCTTTAAATAGGAGCAAAAGAGCATATTCGACATTCAAAAAAGGTAGCGACCGTAGTTTATGGACCTATGTTCGTGGTTACGTTGCCGGCCCTGAATGGGTAGATTCTTTGATAAATTATTGTAAGGCTGGTTGGGTTTTCTATTATTTCTATCACAACTTCTCAAAACTATTTTTTAATGATTGTTTTAAGAGATGCAAGAATAGACAATAGAGCAAAGACAATATTGTCTGTGGCATATGTTATCTGTCCCCTATGGTATAATGGCCGTCAATTAAATCTCCCCTCCCGTTAATTTCCCTCCTTACTTGAATGTTTTAATGGTCGAATAATGGCAAGAATTAAGCCTCCAAATATTTATAATAATAATAATAAATATATATAGGTACATGGACAGGATATAAACACGGTTTTTTTTAAAATGGCTTAAAACTAGAAAAATCATATGAAAACACCTGCTATTAATGAATTTGTTCTGCTATAATGTGATTTGCATTTCCACAGATTAATGCGAAGATTTTTTTTATATGTTGCAGGAGGCAGACGGGTAGGAGGCTCACCTGATGTAAAGTGATACCGCCGCCCATGGACACTCGCACTGCCAGAAGGCTCATAAGCGCGCTGCCGGCCTTATAAGAATTGGTACGTTTATTTCTTGAAGCCCACGAAACGTCAGGACATTTTAAGCCTACTAAAATCAGTGGCGCTACAACCTTTTTAGCTCTGGGCCTTAGATTTCTGTATCTGTTGTAGGTATGTGCCAATCTAAAAGTCAATAAGGTGATCAGCGTCCTGTGCCTGACACACGCGACTTTTGTAACACAAGCCGGCTTCCTCACGATGCTTTCCTTCGTAAGGGCGAAATGCGCGCATAGAAAGAAAGTCCATTGGTGCACAGCTGGGGTTCTAACCTAGGGACCAGGGATGAGAGTCACACTGATGCCACTACCATTACTTTGTATATTCTTGAAAATATCTATTAAAAACGTCGCTCTAATTCTGATAACGCCCTTTTTATTGTCTTTACAATTTGTGATAATATGTTGAATGATCTAACATAATTCCGAAACGGAAATAACTCTCAAATAAATCCTTTCCTCATAACGAGATTTCGTTCAACAAAGGTTATGCCAGTTAAAGGCATTCCGGAAGAATAAGTATTTCCACGGAAAATCATAAAAGAAAAACTAAATATGAAAAATAGTCAAAATAAACTGACTGAGGGTGACCACACGACAATAGAAAATAGACTTTATTTGTACATTAATGAACGTCATCTAGTTTAGAATTAAAATATTATGAAGATTGATAATTCTGACAGGTTTTGATTTTTTTAATAAGCTTATGTTCGGAATAAATGTACGTTTATTAATAAAGCACTAAATCTAAAAGACAGCGTATCAATTTTTAAAAGGCCGTTAACGCACTCGAGATTCCTCTGGCATTGAGAGTACCCATGGGCGGCAGTATCACTTAACATCAGATGAGCATCCTGTTCGTTTGCCCCTTCTATATACAAAAAAGGCATATTTAGGCAGACTTTAGCATCTTACCTCCAATAAGGGTAGGCCTATTTAGTTTAAAAAAGCCTTAGCCAAAATTAGTTAATAGTTGATCGATTAGACACTTTACACATTTTGGGGGGTAGTTCTTTAAAACTGAAAACCACTTAATACAAATTCCCAAAAGAGCTTTCTTCGAAACCTAAAGTGGTTGAGTGGAATAGGCGTCCGGATAGTATAAAAGAACAGTGTTTGTCTAATGGCTTCAGTAATCAGTATGCGACTCTCATTCCTGATGTAGGTTCAATCTCCGGCGTGCACCAATGGACTGTTTATGTGCGCATTTAACATTCGCTCGTAGAACATAACATTCGAACGGTGAAGGAATCCGGTTTGCCTTATTATGCTATATATGTTAAGGGTCCACATTTTCAAGATCTGTATATTTCGTTATTATACGAGCTATTTCTTGTTGTGGGTGTTGGGTATAGTATATCTATTAAACGTGCTTTTTTATTATTCAAGTGAAACTTCTTTATCGGGGTTGGAAAAAATTTAGTGTAACATTTTTGCGTTACGCGTCACATTTTTCCGTTACGCGCCATGTTGCTTTTTGACGTCAAACTTCTTTATCGGCGTTAAAATATGACATATAGTATGTTTTTGACTTTGAAGTTTGACAACGGATTACATTTTCGACTTGAAATTTGCTAATCGCAATTTGCAGCAATTAATTTGTAAATTGTATGCTAGGCAGTGTATCAAAATTTACTGTGTTTAAAGAAATAGTTTCTAATAAGGTCATAAAGAAGTTTCACTTCTTACGTGTGTACACCTAGTACACGCACACATATTTTATTATTATGTAGATAAACACACTAGCAGCTTAATAAGCTGATGCAATGTTGGCCTAGTGGCTTCAGCGTGCGACTCTCATCCCGGAGTTCAATCCCCGGCTGTGCACCAATGGACTGTCCATGTGCGCATTTAACATTCGCTCGAACGATGAAGAAAAACATCGTGAGGAAACCGGCTTGCCTTACACCCAATAAGTCAAGTGTGCCAGGCACCTACATGCCCATTAGATTGATGAATGATCATGAAACAGATACATAAATCTAAGGCCCAGACAAAAAGGTTGTAGCGCCACTGATTGATTAATTTTAATTTTATAGTCAGTGTAAATAATAAACTCTAAGAACTCTTTTAAAAACAGTTAAGATAATTATTTTCCAGCTACAGTGTATCCTATTTTATTAAAATAACTGGTAACCCCACAGCTTAGGGGAGTAACACAGGGTGTTACAAAAAAATTGCTACCCCAAGGGTAATGGGAGGGGTCTGTCATCCGCAGCCGTCCGCCCCGGGCCTAAACAATTACTTGATGCTAACTCGATATTTGCATTTCTACATTTGGGTTAGATTAAAGAGCTTTTTGCCTCTTGCGGTTGATTTAAAAAGTTAATCATTGATTCGATTTTATTTATGTTAAAATGATATTGGGTTAAGGTAGCAAGCAATTTAGTGATGCTTGGTAGCAATGAGCCGTGTAGTCGTTATTACGAATGTATTGGGTGTATAAATTAAAAAAAAATAAGTGGCCTAGTTTTAGGTCTAAGCCTCAGATTTATATATCTGTTTGATGATCGTTTTTCAATCTACACACTCCGTAGAGTTTTGGCGTCTAAGGCAAGCCGATTTCCTCACGATGTTTTCCTTCACCGTTCGAGCGAATGTTAAATGCGCATATAGACAGTCCATTGGTGCTCAGGCGGGACCTACGACCTCAGGGATGATCATTGACAACACACACAAGTAAATAAATAAGTGTCATAAAACATATATATAAATAATTTAATTTTACATTTTTGTGTATCGGACAAAAAATTATATTTGCTCTTAAGTTACTATTAAGAATTTATCGTTCTACCCGCTTAAAAGTGAGGGTAGTTTCAAATAATCTCACCTGACTATCCTTCAATCCGAGTTTCTCGGCCAATTTCTTCCTGTCCGGTTTGGATATGTACTTTTGGACTTGAAACCTCTTCTCCAGCCCTTTTCTTTGGAGATCAGAAAATACCGCACGTCGCATCATCCCACGGCGGGGTTTTCCTAAAAAAAACCATTATATTAGAGAACACATATAGAAAAATATTCCTGATATCTAAACCTTTGAGGCAATGACACCAAATAAAACTGCTTTATGGTGCTATAAATAGTTTTTTTATATAGAACAGGGGGCAAACGGGCAGGAGGCTCACCTGATGTTAAGTGATACCGCCGCCCTTGGACACTCTCAATGCCATAGCGCTACAACCCTTGGTTTTGGCGTCAATATTGTTTTTTCTAATAAGCAAGTAGGTGAGGCCTCCTGTGCCTGACACGCTGTCTACTTTTTATGTCTAAAGCATGCTGATTTCCTCACAATGCTTCACCTTAGGAGCTAGTGTTAAGCTGGCTCCACATTTGTAGCATCATGACGTATCACGATCAGTCGTATCGTATCTAGTATTTGTATCATAAATATGGACACTCATTTTGTCCATGTCGTATTTTTAAGGCGTATCTTTTAAAAAACTTATCAAATGCTGTATCATGTCAGTTTATCGGCTTTACCTATAGACGATTCACTTTTCTTCCGATGTAACTTTTCCTTTAAATGCGCACATGGAGAGACCATTGCACGGGATTTGAACTTATGATGGATATATCATACCTCAGGGATGAGAGTCATATCTGGACAACTAGGCCAACACTTTTGATTTGCTTTTGATTTTATTTATAATTTTTATTTATAAAATTGCCAACGGAGGTTCCGGGAACTAATAAATAAAATACAAGGAAAAATCTATGACATGTGTTTAAATATTTTTCATGATTACCTCTAGAACTATGCGCCCATGGAAATCCACCTGGAAGCGGGAAGACCTGGGTATGAGCTTGCGACGGCCTCACTGAAACAAAAAATTTAAGTCAAGATCTCCGAACTTAGAAGTAGTGCGTTCCATCTTCGATCTCCACAAATGTCATAGAAAAAGATAATAATATTTTTTTGGTACGGAAGTCAGTTTCTTACCTGCTAAATATGGATGGTGACAGTGCGCAAGTAGATGCTGCAAGTGCTGATGCTGTACTGGAATTGGGCGGCTGGCGATGGGTTTGGCTATCGGCCATGGGTTACCCACCATCGGTTGTCTGTAATCTGTAAAAAATGATTTGTAATCATTTGAATACTTTTCTTTAATAAATAATAAAATAAAATAAAGAAGTTAGATTAGATTAGGTTAGTTTGCTGACAGACAATTGTTCGTTTTGTTAGTAATTAAGTTTGTGTCCTAAATTTACTTGTGTTAGTTTTTCCTCAACCCGATACTATTAAAGTATTGTTCTTCATTCTGTAAGAACTACTCTGTAGGTGAGGGCCTCTTCTAAAGATAGACTTTCTCCTTTAATGACATGCAAAATATCGGTAAAATTATCACGTGACGCACAATTGCCGCACGCTTGCGGTGTCCACTGGCGTACTTCAACTTATACTTTATCTATTCGGTACGATTCATGATTATACGGGTTACCTATTGTGTGTATTTTCATTCGAAGTTTGAATATTCGAATTTGGAACGTTATATAGAACACTTGTTCTCATCGTAAAAAGAAATCCAACTGTTATTGATAAAAAATCTATAAAATACAGATTAAACTAAAGCCTTTCCCTTTTTGTGAAATTATTAGTATTGAATATTTTTACCTGAAGAGCGATTTTTTCGACAGTTCTTGCCTTTTGAGAACTCATAGTAAATGTAAATGTACATTGTACATTAAGCAAAAGTTACCTAAATGAATATATGTATTTATATTTTGTTTGACAAGTACCTGAGTTACCTATGCATTGACAGGTTTATAAAACGCCGAAAGGGGAAATGGGGACATTGCCAAGCAAGCCTTCGACTGGATTCCTTAAGGCAAAAGGAAAGTGGCAGCCCAAAAGAGACCTGGCAACGAAGCATTGCAGAGGCGAAAGAAGCTGTCATGACGTGGGGTGAAACGAAAGCTGTACAGGACCGATCAGGCTGGTTTTCTACGCTGGAAGCCCTCTTCCCCACTTGGGGGAAAATAGGCCAAATCAAATACCTCAGGTTAGTGTACTTTTTTGTCCTTTTCACTGTTTACATATGTTTTAATTGCTTTGTTTTGTTCTAAATTTTGTTTAAGTAGTTATATCTTATATCTCACTATTTGCGCTCACCTTATTTAACTTTTCTCTCACAGTGGTTGCTCGAGAAGATAGAGAAAAGATTACTCAAAAGCGATAAGCCCGCCCTTCCTATTTTATTTATTTATTTCTGTATTAATAAATAAAATAAATATCCTTTAATGATGTTTAACTTACGTGCTAAATATAAAGTATATATACCTAAACTAATACTGAAACTTTTTTGTGGATATTATGTCCAATGTGTCTATTTATTAAATGTTTTACGTTTATGTAATTTTTTCTGTATAGAGATGTATCTGTTTAGTTTCCTTAATAAATAAATAATATACTTAACCAACTTCGATTTTGTTCCCTTTGGAGTAGAGACTCTTGGGCCGTAGGGTTCTAATGCACAGGCACTAATTAAAGATTTAAGTTGGCACCAAGTAGATAGTACCGGTGACCCCAGAGCTGGTGCTTTCCTCGCTCAACGAATAAGTATCGCAATACGGCGAGGAAATGCCGGCATTAAAGGTACACTTTTTAAATTTGTTTTAATTTTCCTTTTATTAATTAATTATTTTTATTATTACTATGTAGGTTAAGTAAAAAATAAATTGGAAAATTGTTAATACTGTATATCTACTTAATATCATTCGGCAAACGGTCTTTTATTTATTTACAGCTTAGACAAAGGCGTCCTTTATTTTTTCCAATCGTGGCGTGATTTTTATCATCCTCCCATCTTCTTATCTGCCTCTCTTTCATCTATTTGTGTATTTACGAAGTGTAAATAAATAGCTTTTTAATTGGACCAATGTTAGTTCAAATAACGTATTCACAATATTCCTATTAATTCAATAAACATTTTTCCACCATCCAATTAAGTCAAGACGTCTCAATGCGCTAATCGCTAAACGGCGTAATCGCGAAACCATTACAAATACAAGCGAATCTCAAATCTCCATCATCATTTGTTAAGGCATAAGCTGAAGCGTTTTGTACTTAAACGAGAGCCGAAAAATTTATTTTCTTCTACCTTATTTAGCCCCCTATTTGTTTAAATATACCTACAGGTTTGTTTTATGGTGTCTTGCCTGGGGCGATTACTAGTGGTGCCGTGGGGTTTTAGTGGGTATGGACAGTAGCGAGCCCCATATAACCCTCCTCCACAAGGCAGTTGCGCCGCGGGAGGGTATGCGTAATGCATTTCCCCACGAAAAAAAGAGGGTAGGTACAACTGTGTTGGCCTAGTTTCTTGATGGTATGACTCTCATCCCATCGTACATTAAATTCCTGGTTAAGACGATATATATTATATGAGCATTTAACACTCGCTCGTACGAAAAAGGAAAATCTTATACCGAAAAAGCCGACGCCGTGAACAGAAGACTGATACTGAACACCTATTTATTGGAAAACATAAAACTGTAGCCCAGACATAAAAGGTACAATCTTCTTTTGCAAAAAAATTAAGATTATGTAAGTAAACTATACGGGTGTAACATAATTCGATGTTTTGGTTAGCGAGGGGCTTCTTTAAATCACTTAGAGTTTATCACTGTTTATTATACTGCGTAGATTATAAATACCTTTAAACGTTTGAATTCGCAATTGTTAAAATTGTAATTTCATCATGTTGTCAACGAGTTTAGCGTGAAGTGATTAATATGAACGGCATAATAACAATATAATCAATGTATCTATAAATATTTTTTATTTTAATCGCTACCGCTCCTACTTCGCAGCTCACCCGCATCACCCCACGTTTTCTTACCACCCTTCTGTCAATGCCACGCCGCCCCTAATATATTGTACCTCCTTTGTAATGCCATTAATCAAAGTGTTTTGTTTTTGACTTCATATTAATTTAAACCTATATGTGATCGCTTTGGCGCTTGGAGTAATTTCAGTTCACGCGTTTATAAACGCCGTCGCGGGGTTAATAATGAAATATAAAAATTTACGTGTTAATCCTAATTATAAACGCGAAAGTTTGTAAGTGTGGATGGATGTTTGTTACTCTTTTACGTAAAAACTACTGAATGGATTTTATTGAAACTTTACAATAATATAGCTCATACATCAGAATAACACATACAATTTATAAAGATATTGTGTGAATTGTCCAAAACATCAAGAAGTAGGAAAAAATCTACCATCTGCGAGTTATTCTGGCGTGCGCTGCCAAAACAGCTAGAGTTACACATATGTAATGTATGATGGAAATGTTTATCTTAAATAGATCTACAAAAAAGTCCATTACACTTTATATCTATCTCTTATGTGTAAGCCATTATAGCCAAAATAGTCAACCATAATTACAGTAAAAATTGATAATTTACTTCATTAGGTATTACTACCACTAAAAGGATTCCTAAATGAAAATAGATACTTTTATCGCTTCTGGTATTTAAAGTATGTCTTTCACGCTACATCATTTGGACAAATATTATTTTAATCCTGCGCATACGAAGTCGCGGGCGCCAGCTATGCCAGCGGGTAGCATTGATAGGAACGTCACGGGTAATGATATCCTTCAGCTTTTTTGGAATTTCTGTATCCATGGCTTTCTTTCTCCATTCGACTCCTAACGTTTCTATATCTTCTGTCCACCTTTTTCTGGGGCGTTCTCCGACGTTGGAGGATTGCCCACAGTGGTCTCAACTACGTCATATATATATAGTTCTGTGGTGGCCGGTGGGTGCTGCCTTGCTTTGCCATGTGTTGTCAAAAAATGATCGGCAGTGACAAGGTATGTAATGCAGTGGTATTCTCCTGTGTAAGTAATGCTACAGAAGGAGACAGCAGAACGAGAGAGGGAGCGCTTTAGAACGAATCCTAGGCTTAGAAGACGGAGTAAACTGCACCGGAAGTTTTTGAGTGTAACATGCTGTTGAGGTCCCGGTAGACTGCAAGAGCGTCCCCGGAGCCTCTGTAACGCGGCTTTGTAGAAACTACTCGAAGTGGTTTTAGTGGGTATTTCTCACCCAGTCTCTGAATAGCAGAGATTCTGGTGTGGGTCGAGTCCACCATTGTCCTGCAACTTTTGGGGGTGTAAATGTATTTCCACCTCGGATATCAAAAAAAGGAAGTCGTCTCTTTCTTCCTCTTGGTCTTTTCCATATAGTTAAAGTTAAAGTCTTTAAAGTTCATCTTATATTTGTGCATCTCTGCTTGTTGTCGCCTTATTTTTTCGGTTTACTCTTATTGGAACACTTCTTTCCATTGCTTTTGTTAGTTTAGTTTTTATTTTTATGTTGTATGTCCACGTTTGGCAGTCGTATGTGACTGTAGGTAAGATACAATTGATTATATACGTAGTTTATAAGTATTGTATGGGGTTAGGATAGGTTAGGCGATGTAATATTCCACTAATGAACGCATAACCAACGGTTGAAATAACTTAATTCATTAATTGTGTTTAATTTTAATATCTATAAAGAAAACAGTATTTTTCTTACAGAGATTACCCCTAAATCCTTAATAGCGTATTAATAATTAAAACAACAAGCCCCAGGGTAAAACTTCCACGTCGACGCCCCCGCCCGCCCTTCAAATCTTCATTTTGCTTCAGTAAGTTTTTATTATTCTTACCATAAAATTGGGTAATACTTATTAAAATGGATCTTATATTGAAAGCGAAATATTAGGCATAAAAACATCAGTTTGATTTTGTTCCCTTTGGAGTAGAGACACCTTTGGACACACAGGCGCTTAATAAAGATTTAAGTTGGCGCCTGGTAGATAGTACCGGTGACCCCAGAGCTGGTGCTTTCCTTGCTCAACGAATAAGTATCGCAATACATGAAATTCTGCCAGCGTTTAAGGTCGTTAATTATTATTATTATTATGTAGGTTAAGAAATTTGTAAATACTGAATATTTGTGTGTTAATGGTGAACACTCCATTTACAGAATATTCATATATTTATGCAAAACCCGCGGACTATACTATAAAGAGCAAAAAAAGAATACTCATATTTGTATACAG